TGCAAGTGGTAACTAAGTAGAGCTAGGCATTCACCAGTCTCAGCTTCATCTCTGAAAATAACACAATGCACCATGCATCAGTGTAGAACTATCTGTTCCATCTCCTAAAGTAAACATTACTGATTTGATTTTTTTCTCTGTGTGTGGCAAATACAAAGAAGTCAGAATTTCTCTGTAGAACACCTAGAGATATGTAAGAAAGACTTTTTTTACAGTTTAAGGCTTGGAAAAAAATGTAGTGTAGTACTGCAGGGCAATAGTAACTAGTACTAACAGGAACATTTTCAATTTATCCCACTGTATTCAGTCATATCTGTTTCAGGTCTTGAATTAGATGAGACATATGAAAAGGTTTTACTTATTCTCTTGAAAAAAATTATCTTTTATTTCTGAGAAAGTTGGATTTGTGGGTTTTTTTCTCTTGAATACAAAGATACCTATGTGCCCATTTTAACAATATACAGTGCTAGAGCAGACAGTGAGAAAAAAAGCCCCAAATATATAGAGTTAAACATAACCTCAACTACCGGTCTTTGTTATCCATGGATGACAGCCCAGTTAATAAATGTTTTCTCACTAGGATGCTGGACTGGGAGTTAATGTTGAAACACATCTACAACATACTCCAGATGCTCAAGACAAGCAGACACATCACAACCATAACAACAGTGGCATGCTCAGAATGTACCTATACGGGAGTAGAGTTAGTCGAACTTGGGTTTTCCCACTCACTAGCCCAGGTGCAAACACTATGTAAGCAAAGAATTTTGGGCAGGGAGAAGACTGGCTCATATTCTGGATATGTTGCTTGAAAACGGTGCTTACTACTGGCAGGCATTTATATGGAGAAAAGGGAAGAGGGAAAAGATGAAAGAGGAAAAATTTTGGCAGAGGCTGTAGTTCAGGCATGCAGAACAGATATCCTAGTCCACATAATCATGAAAGTGTGTCTGCTTGCTAGACTTGCTATGTATCTCTTTCCAGTTAGGTTTCTGTCTTTAAATGTAAATGACATAGTGTTGCCTTTAGACTTTGTAACTCACTAGACCAGAGCCAAAAAGAGTTCAAATATGAAAAATGTTTTGTTACATTTGCCATTAAAGGAACAGTCTTATACTAAGAGATTTGAAGCCTGAATTGTTTCCATGGTAGTTTTCTCCTCCTTTTCAACATCTGTCCATGTTACTTGGATTGAGCAAAATATTAGGGAGAAGGCGGAAGAGCTGAACACAAGTAATTTCTTGACTTATCAGCCCATCAAAAAAATCCTTTACAAAGAAATACAGGAAAATCCATGATTCTCCATTTCTGCAACAGAAAAATTCCTAAAATATATGACCTTGTGATGGTTAAAAGATAGCCAAGAGCCGAAGCTGGGCAATGTTTTTATCCCAGTTCAGCCATGTCATGGGTCATGTGGTTCAGCATGTGAACAGGAAGGTGAGAATGGGTGAACTTTTGCCTCAGTTGTACAGTCCATCAGAGAATAAATGGAGCAAATCACTCTGCAGCTGTATCAGGAGGTAAACGGCTGAATACCTCTCACACAGAGGCCTTTGTGTTCTGGACATGATCTAGCATTATGATGGGACGCACTAGGCTGAGGCTTTGTAGCAATTACTAACCCATTATCACGCTAGAACATGAGATCATTTATCTTCTAATTCAGAGTGTCACCTGTTCTTCATTTGCCAGTCAATAACCATTAATTACTTTCAGTGGAAATTTAAACAAAGCTTTTCCCCTCTGTTAAAACCAGTAAGCCATTTAGTAATGATAAATAAACCTAGAGCTGTATCTCCCCCTTTCCTCTCATTCTCAGCCTGGAGTCTGGTGCAATATGAATTCTTAAAGGAAATGCCTAGAAATTGATAGGTCAAGGGCCTTTATTAGTCTGATGTGGGGGGAAGCACATTCCTGGCACTTGCTGTAGGGAAAGCACATCGCTACTGCTTGTACACGTATGTCTCATTGGTTGTCATGGGCTGCACCTGTGGAAATATAGTTTTGACTGTGGAACTTATTTAAAGTTTTTTCTCTCTTCTGGCTTGCCTTGGCATTTTTTTACAGACTTTTCATGCGAACATATTCAAAGCAACAGCATTTCGTCACCCTCCTCAAAGCAAAACAGAACTATCACTTACATTGTCATTTTTAGCGTGTTAATTTTTTTCATACCTGATTGGATTGAGGTAACTATAAGTGCCAACAATTGTGAATGCCAGAGAAAAAAAAAAAAAAAAAGAAGCAGTAGTGATAGTTTCTCAAGTAATTGTTAAGTTAAACATTTCCTGGTAGGATTTGAGGCAAAAATTGCTTTTAGCAGCTTTATCTGCATTGTTTGATCATTGCTAAGTTTATTCTATAAAAATTTACTGCAGTTTAAGTTGTATTTCTAAGACAATGATTGCTTTCTTTTTTGAAATAGTAGATGAGCTGATACACCCAAATACATAAAACCTGGTTGGACCCACTGTTGAAGGCTGGGTTTTATCAGTATTTTGTAGCTGTCTCCTTTGATGTAGGGCATTTTTTATGGTAAAGAGAAACTTTCAATGTTATTTTATATTAATATGCAAAAAGAATGCATAAATATTTTAAATACTCACTGGATTGTTGAATGTTTTGGCATTAAACACCCGCACTAAAATGGTGTCTAATGAATTACAATATTGAGGTGTTTAAAAGTGCAGGAGTGGCAAAAAATTGTTGGAAGTCTGATTATGCTTAGACATTTTAATACTATTTCACCAAAGGTCATAGTAAACAGCAGGTGCTTTTGCTACTATTGCATATTCAGTCAACTTATGTGGCATTTGGGAGTAATGGGTGATTTTTACCAATAAATGAGGTTATATTGTCACATCTCTCTACAGAGCCAAGGTGAAAACTTGAGTTCATTATATATGGGCAACATCCACTAAAGTCAGGAGGAGAACCACTGTCAGTTCTGTCTCTGTCTGACTGTCTAATCTTGGAAATCGTTTTTTGCTCAAATAATGCCCTCTCATATGAGGAAGCACATTGTTTTCATCTGGACTGCTTAATGAAAGCTGAAGATCTGTGAAATTAGGGACTAGGCTAGGAGAACCAGAACTATCAACCACTTATTTTAGATATTCCTGTTACCCTTCTGTGCAGCTGCTACTGCTGTAAATCCTGCAAGCTTGTCCAGTCATGAAGAAACAGGAGTCGGTGATTTACAGTGACCTCTCAAATCAGCAGGGAAACCCCAGTGTTCCAAGAAAGCTCATATGAGAGATACAAGTTAAGACATCTCCTCCCCACAAGAGGAGTTTCATTAGCCAGTTGGGTATTTCTGCGTCATTGGTTAGGATGTTCAATCCTGGAAAGGAAAAATAAAGTTGCTGCCATTGTCCTGCCCAGCAGGTCATCTCCCTAAAGCACAATTAATGTCAAGGGCTTACACAGCAGTGCCCAAAACCCAGCCTTCCATGCACGTTCAAGGAGCAAAAGGGTTCAAAAGGAACATGTTAATAAAGTCTTGTCAAAACTTTGGAAGATGCATAAAATATTAACTGGGAAGAAAAATGGTTTGCAAATAGAACCATTTAAGTGGAATGTATCGCCTTGCTATGCAGGACACTGATTTATTAAGAATAGGAGGGAAAAATTGAATATTTCAGGTGGTATTTACCAAGAGAAACTGAGCTGTCCCAAAGCTTTTATTAATCTGATTTGCAGAGTATCCACTACCATCAAGGGACCTACTAAAGTTGTTTTCTTTAAAGCTGATGTGAAGAGGTCAATGCAAATAGCATCATGGATTACACTGTGAGAGGATGACAGTCCTTTTTACCATATGGAGAGAGAGTTGAATTATTTTGTTTTCCTTTTTTGGTTATTTATTAAATGAAGATCATACCATACAGGTATTCCCTTTTCCTCTCCAAAGGAAATGAAGTGTTTGCATCATTTTGATTGATCTAAAGTAATAATTATTCTGTCCACCTACACCTCCTATGCACTCAAATAGTCGAGTCACTGCAGCAGTGCCTTTCACATTAGAAAACTGAAATGTACCTGCTGCCATACCTTAGACAAGTCACACGTGTCTTTGCATGCTTCTTTTTCCATCTGTTTTCCGTTTTTCATGCTGACTTAGCTGGCCAGGCCTCTGAGATGGCGCTCATCCATCATTATTTTTTTGTGGGAGGGGACTCTGTGAAAGACTGCTGCAGGAACTAAACCTGCTCCCCTGAAATGCAAATGTGTTGACAATCCCATGAAGTGTTCCTTCGAAACACATTGCGAACCTTTTGCTGCACGAACAGTTCTCTGAAAGTGATGTTAATGGTTGTCTCACTTTTCCACCAGTGTTTTCTGTTTTCCTGTGTCAAAAGAAAATGTTTCTTCTACAATGCTTTCGTATGTAACATTCAGCCCATATTCAGCAGGAAAAACAGATTAATTAGCTCAAATACACTGTTAAGCATTCTTATTTACCTTTTAAACTCTTTTACTCTTAATTAAAATCTTCACTTGGACAAAACAAATGTGACAGAAGAAAGAGCCAAAAGGATCCATATTTTCGTGTTTCAGTGTATTTAACATCATTCTGTAACAAACATACAACAGCACTCTGGGCTGAAACATTACAAAATTTTGTTCTTTTCCCCATATCAATGTCAATTCATGCAGTGCTTTAAATAAGTGAATCCACACTGTTGAGCACTAAACCAAGTCTCAGTGTTCAAAAGTAAACATATTAAAGTCTCCCCTGCAGAAACCCCTGCTGTGAAACAAATTGAAAATCAAATACAGCGTTGTTTTCTATAATAAGAAATAATTGAACTCTTTTTAGAGTTGCACTGAACTAGTTAATGGCCACCGTGTAAGGAAAGTGCTAATATCCCCGGCTTGGGATGTATGTGTGTATGTCTAGTAATTTCCAAATCAAAAATGCAGTAATACAATATCATGTACCAAAGGGGCCACTTACATGTGCACTGAATCTGACTTTGTTTATCTTTCCACAGGCCATGTGGCTGATGTTGCAAACGGATGAGCCTGAGGACTTTGTCATAGCTACTGGGGAGGTCCACAGTGTCCGCGAATTTGTGGAGAAGTCCTTCAAGCACATTGGAAAAACCATTGTGTAAGTACAAAGATGAGAGAGCAGCCACAGGTTGAACATTTCTAGCCTGTAACGTTTGCTGTCTTACAGAGTATTGTTTGTCTACATTCTTCTTCCAGCCCCCTCCCCCGCCACCACTTTCTAATAGTAACAGGCACAAACGACTGCCACAGCGGGTATGTCTAGTGTTGCCCTCCAGATCACGAGTGAAAACGTAGGTGGGTTAGTCTTAATTTTTTAATCAAAAAAGTCTTCATTTGCTTTTCTCCCGTTCACTCCTGTCCTGGGGGCAGAGATGCCCCTCCAAAGATGGACACTGTTAGTGCTGTTCGTCATCCTCCCACAAAATGGGCTTTTCCCCCCAATTCTCTATTTTGTGTCCCCAGAGCCCCTCAGTCCTGCTCCCATCCTCTGCTGTCTGAAGAGGTGACACCTGCCAACCCTATTCTTTCCACGGACAGCCTGTCAGCCACACTACAAGGCTTATGTAGCAAACCACTCTACATTCCTATTAGCTCTTCTCCTTCTAAGCCGTAGAAATCTTGAGCAGTGGGTGCAGAATGTTTACAATGCATATTCCACATAGTTTGATTGGAAATACAAAATTCCTTCTCAAGGCCATATAATAAAACCAGGATGGCTTGGTGAGCGCTTTCTGTAATTTATATTTTTATTGTTTATTATTTTTTCAATTTCCCTCCTTCTGTATCTTCTCTGGGCCCCATGCATCAACATACCAATCTCAGCTGGAAAAGGGAGAGGAAAGCCACAGGCTCTTCCATGACGCTAGCACCAGGGCTGTTCCTCGGGCCATCAAAGTCACTTGTGCAGCTGGTGAACTTTTGACAGGGCCAATAAGTTTTACTTGGGAACAAAAACTTGACAAATTCAATAAATATGCAGAAGTGCACAGATATATACAATATTATTTGAACAGCCAGTGGGTGGTTAGGAGGTAATAACATTTTCTCCTCAATGAGTTTTTAGTCTGGTTTCAATTTTTGACATCAGCTTCCAGAAAAAAAAATTCTGATGAGGGAGAGAGAGAATGTATTAACAGTATTTCTAACCCAAAAACTCAGTTTGGGGAATAAGTTTCTCTCCATAATTTTAGCATTTCTTGATAGTGAGATGTCCCTGTTATCACACATTGTGCCATATGCCTTAAACAATAGTGAGCTTTGAGAGGATAAAGAGGAGTTAGTAGGAGCTCTAGTAATAGCTTTGCCTTTCTTATTTTTTCTTCACTTTTTATAGTTTGGTTTCTTGTATTTATAAAATAATTCACCCTAGTAAGCATGGATAAGAAAATGCTGCAAATTCAATTGCTCTATGTAAGAAAGAATTCTAGTGATTTTGAGAACTAGTCCCTGTCTAGTATTATTTACCAAAGCAAGAATGAATGTTTGGTGAACAACTTTTTTTTTTTTTTCCAATTTTGATTACCTATAATTAGAAAATTATACATATAGGTTGGTACCTATCTGAATGTCTTTATTTGCAGTGGTTTCTTTTGATGTTAGTAAATATATCCACTAGTTTAAAATTGAGCTCCCTGCTTTGGAGTTGGCCTAAGAAGTCTCAGCATTTCCCAAGAGTGACAAATCCACATGTATTTTTTAGAAGGCAAATTAAGCCCCCAAGAAAACCTAAAGGAAATAATATGTCCACAATAAAAGTGAAAGTACTTTTATTAATAGCTTCTGTTATAGAGGGGATATTAAAGGCTTACTTTAGATTTAGTTGTTCCTAACACTCAGAATTTTGTGTCCTGTTTAATTTTTGCTCACATATGGCTCCATGTGGTGGACTGCATATCATTCATGTTCATGTTTACTGCAGTCAGTGTTTGGATCGAATCAATCAGTCACAAGTTTCTCCCTTAGAAAAACTTCACAATATGACTCCAAATGATGAGGTAGGGCAGGTATTTTCTGTGTACAAAGGCGTAGTTGATTTTTTTATTGCTAGTCAAAAAAAGTAATTTTCAAAAATTGTATAAGAACTCACATGACACCAAGTGACATGGATTTTTAAGAACATAAATCACTTTAGAAATGGGGGCTTGGCTCTTCTGAAATTTTTCTTTCCTGCGAACAATTTATTCATTCTTTACGCCATTTACAGTGTGTAACTATACATATGGAGACTAAGGTGACATTTAACTGCTAATGATAATTTTTTTGCTGATCATTTTGGCAATGGTGCAATTCTGAACATTTTGGATATAGTCTGTCCAGATAAACCAACCATTCTTTCTACATGATCTCAGGGTGGGAATAACGTCTCAACAGACCCACTACTCATCTTTCAAATTGCACTAGACATAAAATATTTCTCTGGATTTGGAAAGTTTTGTTAAGAACCTCCACAATTTTTCTAGGTGTCAACCTGACCCATGCGCACACAGGCACACTCCTTGTCCTCGCTGGCTTCTTGGCCAGCCGGCTGGTAACCTCTCACATTCTTTGAAACCCCCAACAGCTTTCCACTCCCACCTCCTCCAGTTTGAATATATCTTCTTCAGGGAGTAACCTGGCAGCAAAATCCTCCCTTTTAGCATTGTGGGACTCCAGTGGCGAGTCCCATTGATCTGTTACTTTACAATTTATGAGGCACCTAAGAAGCAGTGCACCAGAGTGTAATTGCTAAACAATTTCCTGCAGGGACAGCTGCTTTCTTCCTATCTCCCTTCCTCAGAGTTGTGTTGAGTTGTTTGGGGTTCCTGGGGTTTTTGCAGGGTTACTGGTATTATGAAGTTTTGCAACCTCAAAAACTTATCTGGGAAATTTACAGCACCTTTCCCACTGCTATAAGTGATGGCACAGCTTCCCAGTATTGCCGTACAATCCGCCTTTCAAAATTGATGGAATGATGGAGTAAATGACCAGGATGGATGTTGTGGCAAACGATTGGCAGAGCTCATGCCACATCTGAGAACACTGGGCACATGTGCAGGGACTCCTAACTCTTTGTGCTTTGTCGGGGAAATTTATGTAAAATCTTAGCTGTCACATCATGTTAGTGCAATAGAGAACAGGAAGAAAAGCAATCCTGGCTTTTCACCAACCAACTAAAAATATGAATTTTATTTTGTTAGTTTTCTTGTCTTCCTAATAATTCACATTAACTTTTACAGCTGAAAATCCAGGACAGCCTAAAAAGTCTTTCCAAGAACATAACATAATATTCTGTTCTAGGCAGTCATTAGCACATGTCAGGACTATGTCTTCCAGCCAAAATAAGAGAGAGAGAAATTTTACTACATTTTTGTAACTAATGAAATGTACAGCTGCAATAAGGCTGATTCTCTCTCTGAAATTGACTGTAAACTGTACACAGAAGTTCATCTAACTTGTCTGGTTTTTTTCTTCTAACATTTCTTTTTCAAGGAAGAAATTTCAAACTATATTTATATAGTCCTCTGAATCATTCAAATTCAGTCCTTTGTACTAACAGGAAAGCCTCAGAGCTACAAATATTTTCCCTTGTAAGGATTACATTTTTTTTTTCTTTTACTTTCCCTTCTACTTATTACTAATTAAGTAGTACTTGGGGGAAACACTTCCCGCCTATAATTTGAACTACAGCAGGGTACACGAAACAGGCAAACGCTTGTCTTGACTAATTTTCTGTCATTAATCTTATTAAATTAGAACAGGATTGCGAAGATAGCCTGAAACCACTACAGCACTCAGAGATCTTTGCAGACTGCTAGAAAGACTGCTGTCTGCAAATGTGGAAAGCAGAAAAAAAAGACAAAGAAAAGAAAAAACTGTTCAAGCTGCAGAAAGATTTATTGTGGGTTTTATTAATATAAAAAATACATGCACATTTGTTACAGAAATAGTAATTGCTTCCAGGATTAGAATTAATTCAGAAAAAATGAATATTTTACTCCAGTCATTTGGCTCTACATACAAATATTATCTTAACTAACGTGGTAGTTGGTCTTACAAAAGATCATCCTAAAAAGAGGAAGTTTGCTGATAATCTATAACGTCTAACAAGGTGAACTACTAACAGAAGTGGAGCAGTGGCCTCTTCAGTGACAATGAAGGTTGAAATGAGATTGAACTGAGGGAGGAGGGTTTTTCTGGTTTGTTTGTGGGTTTGGTTTTTTTTTTTTTTTAGCCTGAAATAGAAGGTTGGGTTACAGAAAAACATGAGATTTGAAGGATTGCTGTGAGAATGGAAAGCCAACAATATGTTAATAATGGTGCTGTGGGGACATGGAAGAGGAGCCATCAGAAGTTATCAGCAAAACAGCTGCTATTTCCAGTCTGGTTTGCGCACCAAAAAGTGCTGGCTAGCTAGTGCTACGTGTTGTAATTACCAGCTCAAGAAACTCAGAAGCTTTCAGATAAAGAAGAAGGGAACAGGATCTCATGCAGGAACTGTAGGCATTTTGAAGAGAGTTGAAAGGAACCCAGCCAGGTTGGTGAAGAATGCTGGCCTGGGTGAACCCACACAAGCACAGGTCCTTGCTTAGGACTGTTCCACTTTTGTCACCGTTCTTGAAGCAGAGTATGTATTTTAGGGGGCATTTAACCCACTTCAACTGAGTAATTAACTCTTACAACTGAGCAGGTTTTCATTACTTTCTTATTGATATAAGGTTTTATCTGTAGGCAGACCCAATAATAGTTCTGTTTCACAATTCAGATTAAGGTTGGAAGACTGTAATAATGTCATTATCTGATTTTATGCTTTCTAAGAGGTATGAGAGTTTATCCTATACGAAGACTGGGTGAGAATGAAATGTGGTGTTTCATGGGAAATTCCATATTCCCCGCCCCCAAAATTAAATTATTTCTCACAAATGCAATTTGGGAAAATATCTGATTTCAAGTCAGCTGGACATATATTTAAAGAAAGAATAACTTAAATAGAAGTTTTGAAGCCATTTGAAAGAAAAAAATCGATTCTGAAAATGTCAAAGCATCTCTTTTATAAGCTATTAATATAATTTTGTTTCAGGCTGACACTAATGTAACTTACTTGAAATTACAACTTTTCTCTCCATAATGCTTTGATTTTCACTGAAGCATTACTATTGTTTCAGAAACATTTTCTTCTCAACACCAACTTTCACAAAAGGGAGTGAAGGGATACAACTTCAAAAGCTTTCCAATTAACTGAAAAGAAGCAATAAAAAAAAAGAAACAAAAAATAGGGAGCCTAGCATGTATTATTTTTTAAAGTCTTGTAACATGGGGAGTCACAATTTAGATTTTTGAAATTTGAGCTTGACAATGCTTGCACTACAACAACTATAGCATTATTTTAACTGTGTTTGTCTAGTTTAAAAAAGCATCGAAGAGCTGATTCATCAGAGCTTTTGCAAAAGAAATTTTAGGTACATTCCTTTATGGAATACTTTTCCTTTTGATTTAAGCACAAGGTTGTGGTTACACAATCCCTATATCCTTGACTGCTTTGATGCGTCAGAGCTGCTGGCGAGGTTGGTGGTTGAGTTGGTGGCAAAGGAACATATGAAGAGTTATACTTAGGGTTTTCCTACAAAAGATTACTTGCAAAAGATATTAATGATCTGTTATATGGTGTCAGTTTTGCTGTTTATAAAGTGCCAAGACAGAATGAAGTGCTTTGGCTTAATTTTGCATGCAACAGAAATCAGGCCACAGATCTGAGAAGTCTACACAAATGGTATATCGTATTACCTATGGAGGAAGAGCAAAATTTTCCTAAAATTTTATTTTTGTTCAATTTATTGTTCACTTTTAAATGTAAAAATATTTTCTATTGCCATATATTTCATTTTAAAGGTGTACATGATTGTTTTATTTTCCATAAAGAGGCTGAGCAGCTGTAGGCACTAGTGGTTTTAAATAATTTTTTAAATACCATCAGTTCTGTTTCTATGTAAAGATCAAACAAGGGCATGAAATTCATATACTTGTTCAATTTATCTGTGCTTCTGTGAAAGACTTCATTTTTAGTTGATTTTCTCACCGCCACAAAAATATAGGTACTTTGCCTTGTTTGCTTCTCAATTACATCTGTTCAGACCATTTGGTCCATTTTAGTGCTATTCCCACCACTCCTCAATTAACCTGGCTCCCCTGTTTCCTTCCCTGCCCACGTCACACTCCACCAGGTGGGTACCCCTGCTTTTCATCCTTACGGAGTCCTCTATATCTGTGGATGTTTTCACAGCCTGAAGCTTACTCTCTTCCTGAATAGTTATAGGAAATGAAAAATAATTGGAATCTCCAAAGTTGTAAAGCATAAGGAGCATTAGTCACTGCTGATAAGTATTATGACAGTAGTGATTTCCAGATATGGAATTAGCCTTAAAGTGAATGCAGTCCATCCCTTTGTAAATCCAGAATTTAAAAGCTCTTGAGGTGAAGAACTTTTCAAGCAAGTAAACTTGCACATGCATTTGAAATGTAACTAACTTAGTTTTATGGGAATTTCTGAGGTCCTTGATAGCAGTGGTATCCACCATAGTCAGCAAGCGACTGTCATTCTAAGCAATTCCAAATCACCCATCTCCAACAGTGAGGCACTTGACATGGAAGTGTAGATGCAAAGGGCATCAACCCCACTTTGTCAGTAGCACGTGCAGAACATTCTGGCCTGTGGCTGATGCCAACAGTTGTGACAGCAAACCCATCCTTTGCTTCAATTAGAGGGTGAAGCTACACAGTGTGGGGCAGGCAATGACCTTGCTGTAAAGACTTGTTGTCTGCAGGCTCTAGGACCAACATTTTGTGAAAAGCCTCCACTAGGCCAGCAGGTTCCTGCCTGGTAGCTCTGGGCTTTGGCACCAGCTGGGGTTTTGGGGGATCCACTCCCCATCATCTGTAAATTTAGCCCAGTCCTAATTAGCCAAACTTACTTTAGTGTTCTTGCCTGTGTGGGCATTGGCCCCAAGGAGCAGAAATCTGGGTACTCTGTGGCTGCAGCTATCTAAAGCCACAGCGACACAGGGGTTCCCCATGCCTCTTCCACCATGCTTGTGCTTCAGGATAATTTGGCATGACTTTTTGAGTTAACAATTCTGACTGCAATTTGACTATAAATTAAGGAGGGGTTTGGTGTGTTGTTTTTTTGAGGGTTTTTTCCTCTTTTCTTGTGATTAGAGGGGAGGGGGAGCTGGTTGATGAAATGGATGTCTTGGTGCTGGTGTCAGCTTGGCCCCTGTGCAGTCCCTTTTATCAGCAGTATGGTGTCCCCAGCTGTGAGCCTAGAGGTGCCAAGAGTAATTAGAAGTGCAGCTATCAAACGTTACTTTGTTCACAATGTACGGTTTTTTTTTTTTTTTTTTTTTTTTTTAACTTGTGAACTTTTCACATTACTGGGCTGAGCAGAACGGGTGGAGATTTCTTCTTAAGCTATTTCTATTGTTATATAACTTTGATAGCGACATTAAGTGAGTCTTTACTGGCTCGGCTGAGCCTTCTGGAGCCTGTTGGGTGTTAAATGGGGTTCTCTGCTCAGTGACCTCCAACAACTGACGTCTCCTGATCTAAGCGCTTCCTGTTGTTTTACTGGTGACGGTTAGTTTTCTATTAAGCTCATTTGAGTACTGCACATCTTTACCCTCTGCCCTTTAAAGGGAGGGGCTAATGTTAGTTTTGGCTTCTGAATGAAAACTTTGCAGTTCAGGCTTAAAACAGAGAAACTGCAAAAAAAGAAAGAAAGAAAATTTAAATTATAAATCATCTTAAGCATCATGGCATGAACATTAACAGCTGACTTCACTGTCACTATTACCTGTTGGAAATTATTTCAGTGCAAAGTGTTCCCAGTATCAAGCATCCTACAGGCTTTGCCAGTCATTCAAAAGTCATGAGTTGTGTTATAAAAATTGTGGTATTAAAAAACTAGTAATAATGCATATTTGGTATTTCTTTCTGCCTTTCAGTGTCTTAACTTTCATGAGTACACAGAGATCACATCTTCAGACTTTTCTCCTTAGCCCTCTGGGCTAGAAACTCAAAAATGAAGGCTGAGATTGTCAAAGAATTAGGTTCTTCTAGGAGCTTCAGGAGAGGGGGTAGGAGGGTTGGAGTGGGAGGGTGGAGCAGGGGAGCAAGGAGAAATCAAATCTTTGACAAAAATCTCAAGAGCTGATAGAACAATTAGCAATAGGGAGGCAAATGGTGCTTTTCTTTCCTGGCTGATGACTGAGGCAAAATTGTATAAATCCCAGTGCTGTTTTAAATTATATAGATTTTACTTAAACATTAAAAAAAAGGTAGTAGACTTCATCATCATATTTTTATGCCAGGCTGGTGCAGAGCCCCATGGTATATAGTTACAGGGAAAAAGCAAAGAGAGGATAGAATTTCAATTATAACTCTGGATTTTGTATATTTATTTTGAGTGGGAGCATTGTCCTCAGGCATTGAGGCTGCAGGCTGACCTGCCCAAAGGCAGAGCTAGTCACCCACCAAACTGCTCCTCTTCTGCTGCTCCTGAAATTTTAGACTAGGACAGTCTCTAAAAGAATAGTTCAGAATGCAACCAGATCACATAAATTGCAGCAAATTACAGGCTGTTCAACACATATGAAACTAATTTGGACAAAGTAACTGGCTTTCAGCTCACAGGTAGTAAGTAGTGTTTACAACACATGTATGTGGAGCGCCATGTTGAGGTAGAACTGAAAACCCAAGAACTGTTTTTGTTTTGTTTGTTTTTTCTAGTTAAGCACAAATTAAATTATGCAGCTTAATGCTATTCAAACAGAGCTTCACATCTATAAAATTAACAGATTAAAGAGTTCCTGAAAGTATTGGCCAAAATACAAGAATTAAAACTATTTTAAGAAAACAACTTTGAACCAATCCACAAATGAAAAACCTGTCATATTTATTTGCAGATACATGAGACATTATGAAATAAGGACATTTTATTTTCCCTTAACATTATGTGTTTAATTTGGAAGTCCTGTATTTTAGACCTTCCACTGAATCAAAAACCAAAACAAAGAGACTTCAAAAGCCACTGTTGCTCCATTCAAGTCTAAACTCTGCCTTTGTTCCTACAGCTAATGAGTTTATACTGTCCTGCAGGGAGAATTGACACCAGCCTCAAGTAAACGAAAGCAGGCCAAATGTTGGTAAGATCAGAGCACTAAAGTAATTATGGGTTGATTAAATGTTTATCTTCTTTACAGGTGGGAAGGGAAGAATGAAAATGAAGTGGGACGATGCAAAGAGACTGGCAAGATTCATGTGACAGTCAATCACAAGTACTACAGGCCAACTGAAGTGGTAAGAAAATGCTCTCCCTTAGCTTTGCAAATGAATAATCCAATCACTCAGCCAATAAATTGCTGCATTTGGCCATCAGTCTGTGAAAACGGCTTAATTGCACTCCCGCTGCCAGCTTTTAGAGCTCTAAATTAGTCTGCTTGCTGGCCCCCTCACAGCCAGCTACCTGGGAAGAAACAAGCGAGCAGGCGGCAGGAGCGAGTGGCCCTGTCACAGAGACGCTTGGTCAGCCTCTCTGAGTGGGAGAGGCAGTGCTGTAGGGGGTAAAACATCATATGGGAAACAAAACAAAGCTTGTTGTTCCTTCTGGTTGTGAATGGAAATATGGTCACCTCTTCTCCAGCTATGAGAGCGGAAAGCAGGAAAGGTGGGCACTGATGAGTTTGATTATAAAGTACCTCCTTCTGTGTTTCATGACAGTGTTTCAACTTTATCCAGTGACTATCCCCTGACCAGCTCAGATCTTTGTATCTATGGGTACTGCAAAATTCCCGTTTTAGAAGTGCATGTGTGCTTTGTTTCCTTGGGTGCTTTGCAGGATCCCACTCAGTAAATGCTTGTTTGCAGAACACATCCCAAGAATGCGCCAGTGAAGTCTACCAGGGATACTAAACCAACACATGCTGCCAGCAGGACCAAGTCACTAATGACTATGCTCCCATCACCTAATGAGCATTCTAGGAGAGAGAAAAAACAGTATTTCCAGGTCTCCAGGATGATGGCAATGTGTGGAGATAGTATAGGACAAAGCCTGGTTTCTGGACACAGGGCACAATAGCCCCGATTGTACAATGTAGTAGTAGGTGTACCCAGAAGAGGATATTCTCCTTTCCCTGGGGGAGTCATACCAGCCCCACTGGCTGCTGACACAGCACCAGCTGTCAGTCGATGAAGAGCTGTCTGATTCAAGCAAGGGGTGACAAGAGCACCTTTGTGTTGCAGGGTGGATGTGGGGAGCTGCATGTGGGGAAGTGGACATGGGTTCTAAAATTGAAATTCAGAGGAGAACAGAGACTTTCATGTTATGTTAGAAAGGACTGGACCTGTGTATTGCAATCAAATGCTAGGAAGTCATTAAGAGCTGTCGGTCATTCTGTGCTGTGGTAAGGTGTCAGGATGATAAGGAGGACAGAGACAAAAGGACTTGCCAAACAGGAAAAGGACACTTGACCCAACAAGTCTCTGCTTTGTGAAACCCACTTTCCTGCTTTGTCATACCTCTTACTAACAAGTACATATTCGCTCCTCAAAATTCACAGTTAGTATGTAGCTGTTTGGGAGCCATCACTGTAGGCTGTAGTTCCACCTCATTCACGTGCTCAGACACTTTCTGCTGAAAGAGTGGTGCCCATGGTCTCCTTCTTCTCTGTCCTTATTGGTCTGCTTTTGGGAACACAGTTTCTGGATTTTAAATTCAAATCACTATACATTTGTCCATTCTGCAATAGTGCGTAAGTACCTTTGTCTTAAGGAACAGATGAACTGTGAGCAAACTCCTGTATGAATAGATGTGGCATCATTTTCCTGCAATCAGTTTCCTTTATAGAACATCTCAGGATGGATACCCAGAATCACTTTCTTTTTTTAAAATTCTGATTTTATTTGTCAAAGGCAGGGAAACTGCTGTTTGTTTCATGCAGGGAGTCACATCTGTGCAATTCAAAATATAAGACCAAAATCCAATCCATTGCAAGAAAGCAAGGAAAAGCAACAAAATTACTAAAACAGACTGACAACCCGTGTCCCCTGCTGCCACCAATACCAATACTGCTGAAGGCAAGAAAGCCTCAGGTTGACATTTTGGAAGGAGGCTTAGATCAGTTAACAGGAATTCTGCTGTTAAATCCCAGCAGACGCAGAAAATCTGATGCTCAGATTCTCATGTCTTAACTTGGAAACATTTCTGTCTGTCTGTCTCTCTAAAATTTAACATGGTATTCTGGAAAGTGAAAATAAACATAATTTAATCTTGTGTACAGTCAGTTCTGACAGTGCCAATACATTCATTTGAAAACACATTTGTTTTCTTCAGTTAGTGATCCTTGGGGTCAAGGCCTCCCATTGAAAAGCTTAGCTGTACTGAAGAAGAAACCTTGAAATGTGAGACTGTCTTCTGGTCAAACTAAGTAGACCCTTTGAATGCCTTGGCTCTAAATCTCTTCACTCTGCTTTTGACTGCTTTGGGGCCCCTTGATATTTACTGGCCTTGGGAATTGTTCCTGCTAATGCTTCCAGTGCCTGTCTCTCTCCTTCCTTCCTTGTGTCTTGGCAACTACAAACCTATCAGTATCGTTTCTGTCGGCTTGTATCGACTTCCTATCAGTATCTTTTCTGACCCTTTTTAAATTGTTTTTGGAGACTAACCTGCAGTAAGGATTGGAGAAAAATTGTTACTTTTGCCTTTCTTAAAATCAACAGTTTTCACAGGAGCTTCATGACAATTTTGCTTTTATACTGAACTTTATACTACACTATGAAAGATGCTTTCATGCATTTTGCAGGCTTTTTAAGCACATGGCTAGTGAAGTCATACCTTACACTCATTTTCTGCCCTAGTCGTGTAAAGATCAGTTCCTACTAGCATTTATTTACCTGTGAAATGTAGGTACTTCAAAAATTATCTCACTAGTCTTTTCTACTTATGTTACAGTCAGAATATTCATATCGTAGGCAAACAATTTAATCTATACTTGGATTTAAATAATCTGATATTTATAAAAAATACTAACATTAATTTTAAATTTATTTTAAAAATTAAAACTGAAATTCAATGACTGCCTCAGTGAGTTGAAAACAATCATCCCTGCAGCACACAATACCATAGTCATCAGGTCTCTCAACCCCTAAAGTTGGGTAATTTTTACAGAATTATGGTCTGTCTTTAATTTTCTTATCTCTCAGCAGGACAATTACTATTAATTTGTATGCATAAATTCCCTCAAAGAATTGCACAATTGCTTCTAATTAAATTTTGCCGAATAAGCTGCGTGAGTAGAAGTGCTTCTATTATTTTTGCATGGCAGATATTAAGCTAACAGTTCTACAGAAGCTTGCTTCATTTCATTTCCCTTTTCTGCAACAATGAAGATTAGCTCCAGGTCTCGCTGGTCTGTCCTGTCATCACAGAACTTAGATGTATATATCTCTCAGTTAGGAGTTTGTGTTACTTTTTTGAATGGGAAAAGAAAAGAAACCTTTCAACCATATGTAAATGTTGTCTTTTCTCTGAATCTAATGCTCTACATATGTTACAGGGAATTCTTCCCCTTTCCTCCCACCTGCATCTGCTGTTTTCCTACAGATTGCCTAGTGTAGGAACTGCAGGTTGTATCTGTGCATCACATTTGTTGTAGGCTGGCATGGCTGTAACTCCGAGGATGCACATGCATCATCAATGCAAATTTCCTTCCTTTAAGCAAGCCCTGGAAACTCTGTCACAATGTGATGCTAATATTTAAATAGTCATCTGGTCTCTTATTACTCTTCTTCAAAGAAAAAAGGCCACGCTAACTTGCTAACTTCTTCCTTTTGTTATACACCTTAAACAATTAAACATTTTTCTCCCAGTTCTTTATAGCACTGATATAAATTAAATATAGATACATATATATTTATATATATAATCATATATATATATGTGATTTCTCAAGTTTTCTGTAGTGTTGCTTTTACTAAACTTTGCATCTTTGCTTAACTGTGTTTGGCCTCAGTTACCCTTTTGCTTCTTTGGAATTAAGCGGGATGGCTTTAAATTTCAGTCTCTTCAGATGTTTTTTTAAAAATTCAGCTCTGTGTTTCCCATGTTTCATAGGATTCCAGTAAAGAATTCCTTGGGGCATATCACATTCACCCAAAGTCAGCTTTTTTACAGTCAAAAACATTTTTGAACTCCTCTAAGTGTTCCTGCCCTAAAGAACATTTAGAATCTAGTGAAACCATGATCACAAACCCCTAAATGCCCCACACTTCCACTTCAGTTTTCATACAAGCTTCATTTCCTACTCTTAAGTTCAGAGCTGCCTGTAACTGTAAACTGTTCAGATATCTGCATGAGGAAACACATGCTTCCCTTCCTCAAGGACCTTTTTTGCTCATCAATGTCAATATGTAGCCTGAACTAATACTCATGAAAATGAAATGGGAGCATTCAAGGAAGAATAATCTTCAGTTGATTTTCCTGTCTATTTTCCTCATTAGCAGCCAGGTAAAGAAGTTGTGAGTTGTCATAATATTGAGAGTATTCTCTTATCTTTTTTTTTCCTGCTTATTCTGAAAATATATGTCACCTTCTGAAAAGTATTGCCTCTCTTGTCCTTAGTTCTCCTCCAAGGTGACTCTGCTGCTGTGTCAGTCAAAATGTTTATATTGTTCCTTATTTCAAACTCAACATTATCTCTGCATTGCTTTGCCATCCTCTTCCTTTTATTTGTCCCTCCTGCTAATAAAACCTGCAGTAGATTTTGTTTGGTTGCTTAGCTGGTTTAGTGAAGGCCTTAGATATCAGGCATTTCAGAGGTATCTTTTAAAATGTACATATCAAATTCAGCCAAGTAAAATAATGATTAGTAGTAATTTGTCTCTGTATAGCATCTAAGTGGCACCTAACATATTTTAAATGTTTCTCAACAAGCACGTGAAAAAGGTTTTTGAAAAAATAGCATCACTGTGTTTCTGCTTCTGAAACATGTATGAGCAGAGCAGACAGAGTACACAGCTTGAGTGATATCATAGAGTGGCAGCAAAGTTAGGGGGAGAGCCTGATGGCATTGTGTTCTGTTGCCATTCCTAGTGGATGCAACCATCCCTTCACAGATAGCTTTCTAGTTAACCTCACCCTGATTTTGTTAATCTTAGTTCTTCCTTAGAAGATAGGAAGACCATTATTTCTATGATGTTTTCCTTTCAATATGTCACCAAACTGGAGAAGCTTCAACAGGCTCATGTCCAGTCTTGCTCACTGTCTTGTTTAATCCTCTTAACAGACTCTTAGCAGGAGCCCT